CCGGCCCACCCGGGCCGCGCACCCGTCACTCACAATGCCCATCCAACGTCACCTTCACGGCGGCAGCCTGGGTAAGACACAAGCTGCCTTTTTCCTTTTGGTGCCGCGCCAGCCGCCTGGCCACGGCAAACACCACCAGGCCTAGGCCGCAGTGGCCAACGGTGTGAGACTGAAACTTACGGACAACTCAGGCCTGCGGCTTTCCTGGGTTTTTCCAAACAACTCCTCCCCCGCCTGGCCTTGTGCCAGAGCTGGAGCCAGGAAACTGATGGTGGCTGCCTGGCTGCTCTCAGGGTGGGCGGCTTGCTCTGGGGCTGCAAGAATACCTTATCCATTAAGGCCTAGGCCGCAGTGGCCAACGGTGTGAGACTGAAACTTACGGACAACTCAGGCCTGCGGCTTTCCTGGGTTTTTCCAAACAACTCCTCCCCCGCCTGGCCTTGTGCCAGAGCTGGAGCCAGGAAACTGATGGTGGCTGCCTGGCTGCTCTCAGGGTGGGCGGCTTGCTCTGGGGCTGCAAGAATACCTTATCCATTAGGCCACCTGCTTGTCCCCCCACCACCACCTTCAGTCCACTCCTGCACCCAGCGGGGCCAACTGATCAGTGTAATCCTGGTCTAACGGGTTAATCAGACCTCGCCCCCACCCTCCAAGCTGGGAGGGTGGCTTCCCGCTGGTGGGGAGAGAAAGCCCCTGGGGAACAGCAGAGCAGCGTCTGGAGGCCTGCCCTGCAGCTCCCATTGGCCAAGATGTGGTCAATGGGAGCATCAGGAGGTAGTGTGCCCATACCCACCCCCCCCCCTCCACCACCCGCCTGCCCACAGGACAGGGAACAGCAAACCAGCAGCTGGAGGCCTGCCCTGCAGCTCCCATTGGCCAAGATGTGGTCAATGGGAGCATCAGGAGGTAGTGTGCCCATACCCACCCCCCCCTACACACACACACACACAACACACACACACACACACACACACTTCCACCGGACCCTAACTCTCTTCACCTGACCAGACCTTCTGCACCCAGTGGGGCCCCCGACCCTGCTGGAAGGGCCAGCAGCTCCCTCCAGCCCCCACCGCAGGGGTAGGAGAGTAAGCCACACTCCAGCTGCCATTATCCTGGGTGCAGCCGTCTAGCCCTGGCCCGGTAAGGCAATCGAGCCCCAGGGGCCCACACATACTCTACCTCCCCCAATCCCTTGCCCCAAGCTCCTCATACACACCAACCCGGACTCTTGCCCTGCCACAAGATTGACAGAAGACAGCCACAGCCTGAATCTGCACATTAAACTGGATTTGATGAGTTATGACGTAAGGCAGCGTTCTACCCGTGGGCAGGCGTACGTGACTAGCACAAATCGCAAGGCAAAGCAGAGTCAGACCCTGGACTTCATGGGTGTGTCTACACTGCAACCTTTCCTCCAAGTAAGCTACACAATTTGCACTGCGGAAATCGCGCAGCTTATTTCGAAGCCATCATATATTTAGTAGCCCATTGTTTGAGAGTCTGTAACGCTGACGTACATGGCCAGGGGGTGTGGCCATGTACATCAGCACCCCGCCCGCCTTCCCCTCCCTCCGTGGCGGTTCGGCCAGCCCCCTGGCCCCCCGGCCACACACACACACACCCAGACCCAGCCATCGCTGCTTCCCTCCCCCCTTCCTCAGGT